CTTTTAGAGTGGCAAGGGGTCTCATTGTTTTGATACTGTTTTGGTCTTATTGTTTAATAAACAGGGGGTTTTTTTTCCACCTTTCTCCAAGGAGGTATTTTTTCTTTCCTCCCGGACCAGTTGGGGGGAGGGGCCGATTGGATCTGCTTTTCCCACCGGAGCTCCTTTGGGGGGATTCTTCCCCAAATTTGCTCTAAACCTGGACAAGTAGAAACTAAATTAAGATTGAGCCTTATCATTTCATTATAATATGTTTCTTAAATTCCTGTTTGTAGAAATGTATATGCCTGTTTTACCTTCCAAGTTTATACATTTCTATATAATTAGAACAGTGAATCCTAGCAGTCAGTTGCACTGTCAGAGCTACTTGTGTTATGCTTTGCCTATTTCTATTTATGTTGGTTAAAGACTTTCATAATAGAACTCTGGCCAAACCAAAATAATCCCTTCCTCCACACCCCTGCAGCTCTAGCCCCAATCTACACAACCTTTGGCTACCCAGAACACCAGATGAGCATGTGGAAAGTTCTGCAAGTATGATTCATGGTACTCTTTTTGGGGGGTTACTTACATAGAAAGTGAACCATGAGTGTGTTATGGGTGTTATGTTATAATCTCCCCCTTCTATGGACAGCTATAAGGGCCATGGTAGATGAGATGTGAACAGCTGATTTACCTGAAGAAGGAATCCACGTGGGTCATTTAAGGTTTGTATGCAAACCTCCCTTGTGTGAAATACATTTTATGCAGCCACCTGTAGCCAGTGGGAATAATTTCTGTATTACAAGGACTGTCATATTTCAGCTCTTCAAGTCATGCGTGTATTAAGTCACATGGGAGTTCTGTATTATATTTTTGTTGAAAAGACACATGCTTAACTGCAATGGATTTGTTAGTGATGGTATAATTATGCCTTTTTTGTAAGCATGACTACAAACTTCATGTTAAAAGTTTTCAAGGGTGCACTTTTTAATGTACTTTATAAGTTAAAAGAGCCAGACACATTTCTACATTATAATGGGAAATGTGTCTCTGCCATAATCCCAAAATTTTGGGGGATTTTGCTGGTCAGTGTTTCATCTCTTATCCTAATTTAAAATACTGTAATAAACAAATGTTTATTAATTATTACTGTAATAAAAAAATGTTTATTATTTATAAAGCACATGTACCAAACACCCTTTAACCTCAGGTGCTCCTAGTAAAAATTTTTTGTCATTTATATTTCTATTTCTTTATCCCTAAGATTTATACTGGAAACTGCATTCCTTCTCATTTGACAGGCAGATTATAAAAATTACTCTTTTTCTAATCAGCACTTTTTAAATGTCTCCAGTTATGATTTAATTACTTTTATTCCTCCTCTTCTCTTTAGGTTGATAGCCTAGAACAACAGTTCTGGTAATCAATGCTTTAGAATAAGCCATCAGCTTCCAGTGTGAGAAATTCTTATAACTGCACCAGTGTTAGCATACTCTTGAGCACTAACTTGCAAGAAAATGCTGCAACAGATGCAAAAAATTAATATGCCTTCATGTCCTATTAGGAAACATAAAGCTCAAATAACATATTTTACCCGTTTGTGTTCAGGAAGGGAGAAGCATCAGTGCACCATGGGTAATTGTGCACAGCATCCATTATAATTCCCCCACAGATGACTCTCAATAACACACACACCATCATTCAAGAGTTGTCATGTCACCTGTCCATGATGTCTCTAGAGTTCAGCTAGCCTTGCCATATTACATTCCTGCCGCTTTACATTCCAAGAATATTTAATTCCCATACTCAATAGTTACTTGGGGGAAGGGGAGGAGTGGAATAGTAGTTTATAAATAATCCCTTAATAAAAACACCCAATGTAGTTGAAGTTCTTTTCTTGTAGGTGGTGTAGGAAATTTTTCCATTGAAAATTACACATAATGGGCTTTTTTCTGCCTTTTTGTGTCCATCAGCCAAAGAGGGACTGCAGTCGGTTGAAGCAGGCTGGTTAATGTTCTGCTGTCATTAAAAGAAGCATAACAGCGTGATCGTACATTTGGAAATAACCACAGGCATCTTTGCTATAATTTTCAAAGTGGAAGCTCTGTAACTGCTAGATTCCATCATTACTGCAACTACTAACACTGAAAATTTGTTAAAGTTGTGTATGTGGAGGAATTCATCCAGCATCAAGTTTTAATAATTCATTATGCACTACCTGCTACTAATATAGAAACAGTTCTACTGCTCAAAAAAGTCTTTCAGATTCTAGGAAAGATGTGAAGCATTTTAAAAATTTTATTCCTTGTCAAGGATAATTTTTTCACTTCAGTCAGGACTGACAGCTGTAATTCTTATTCCTCAAAGGCAGAAGCAGTGGCAAAGCTCCCCTGAAGCAAGGAGGCAATGAAATGGACCCTAGCACATGCACACATTTCATAAGAAGTTTTGCATGGGAAACTATGATTTTGCCTTTTTGTCTGTGCTGATTCCAGCCAGGACAGAGTTAATTTTTTGCAGTTAGCTGGGACCCTAATATTATTCAATGCCACCTCAAGTCATTGCCTGTGTTGGCAGAAAGGGAATCTCTCTCTCTCTCCCTTCCAAAATTGTTCCTTCTGGTTGAATAAATGGGGCAAAGTGAGGGAGCCATCCCATATTGTTCTTTGTCCTGGGATCCCAGAATGTGCTGATCATTTTTGCGTGTGAATCACTCTCTTGTACACTTCAGTTAATTCTTTTTGTTCTCTTATCTCATTGCTGTTCCAAATTTGTTCTTATCTCAACTTGAGTTCTTCATGGTTTTTGCCTCCAATTCTCACCTCTGTGCCACCACAGCAGGAAGGGAGAGGGGAAGAGAGAGACAATATCATGGAATACTAATATAACCTTCACATATTCGCTGGGTTTATTTATTTTCTATATTTAAACTCATTTTTAGTTGTGATAAGACACACATATTCTTCTGGTCTACTGTATTTTCACAGTAGAACTTATAGTTACTGATGTATTCAATGCAAAAAAAATAGCAATATATGATATTTAACTTCTTTTTCTTGATCTCAAATTTGTAATATATTTATTTAATCTATTGAATACACTAGTTTTCAGCTTCTTCATTTTTCTTTTAAAAACCCTAAACCTTGTCTCTTTTCCTTAAATAATAGGTAAGGTGAACTGTTCATTTATTTTTCTATATTTAATGAAAAGTCCAATTTCTGAAGTATATTTGCACAGAGACAATCGGTACAGTTCACAACTGAAGTCCCGGGAACTATTTAAGTGCAAATGTGTTATCAAAACTGATTTTAGCAGCTGCCACTAAAAATGTACCCTTTGTTAAATGGTATGTTTGAGAACAGTAGCTTATAAACTTAGATGAAGATTGAGTTGATTTCTAAACAAAACTTTTCCAGATTCTGAAGAAAGACTGACTACAACCAGAGGAAAAAAAACCCATCATTTGAACAATGCTCAGTGAGAACAACTGCATTATCCTCATTTAAAGTCCCAGCTTATCACCCCTGCCAGTGCTAAGCTGTGTGCCCCAGTTTTTCATCCCAGTGTTCATTTAAGGATTAGAAACATTTTTCAGAGGACTTCTTTTTATTTCTTCATATTAAAAAAATATTCAATTTATTTTGGTTTCCTACATGCCTATGTGGGTTCTTCATGGACACTACACAGATATTAAAGATCAAAAAACATAATTTAGGACACCCTGGAGGCACATTAGAACACAAATAATGTACCTTGTTCCAAGCTTTTTGCCACATTTTCTAACAATGAACACTGGAAATTTTTACAATTATCACATGTCCTTTCAGCAACACGTTTTTTTAACAAGGGAGAGGAAAATGCATCTACCTGTCTTGCTTGTCTTTTCTTGCCTTTTTTGTTATTTTAATGGTTTAGCTATTAAATTGACAGGTACTAGTAAACAACACAAAGCTGGTATTTTATTGTTCACCATTTCAGAAGACTTTTCTGTAGTTTGGGGTGCTGGGATATTTTTTACCATTTCATCAATCAACACAGTAATCCAGATAAATTACTCAAACTCCAAAAACATAAACAAATTTATTTATCAGCCGCCCATTTTCAAAACGGGAGTTTTCAGTAACCATTTCTCAGATGAAATCTTACTGAGTCAAGAATATTGTATTTTTCCTTTCACTCAGAAGTTTAATTTCTGTTCTCTTTCAAATACAGGGGCCAAAAAAATTGTCACTACTGGTTTGGGTTTGGCTGTTTCCTTTAGACATGTGAGGCTTTTGCTAGTCATGAAAAATATGCCATAATACTTTAGAGAAAATAGAATTTAGTGTTTTGCAGTTCAAGAATTTCAATCTAATAATGCTATTTTGTAATTTTAACACGGTACATACCTCAACACTAAAATTGCTACACAGAAGACAACTGTAGATACACTGTCAGAAAATGCTTATTTTACTCTGTTTCCAAAAAAGAAAAAAAAAAAGGCATTTTGAGATCATTGAGTCTCTTTCCATCTTCAGCTCAAAACTCCATCTTATTCAATTTTTATCCCATCTGACCAATTAATTAAATATATATTTAATTAATTAATAATTAAATAATTAATAAATAATTAAAATATATTCTCAAAAAAAATTGTGTTCCCACAAGTTTTCTTGAAAATTCTATGAATAGGAAGAGGATCAGACTAATGAATGCATTTGCACGGAAAAAGACTGACAGAACTCTGATATTACACACAACATCATTGGTCATTTAGTATGAACAATATTAACTGTCTTATTACACCTATTGTCCACAAATATTAGCATTACAGCAGTGAAGGTGGAAAGTATCCAGATCTATAAAATGAAACCATCATCAATTGAACTGTTCTTCAAACAAACTTGATCAGCACTTACTCCTATGCTTAAAAAAAACCCAAACTAATATTTCATTTTCCCTGTCAGAACTGTAGATTCAATATAATATTAAAAGATTCGCTTGCAGATACCTTGATATTTTTATGTTGCAGCCAACTGAGAATTTGCTGATAGAGCTGAAAGTGAAAGTTACTCTGTAATGCCGTGAAATAATAAATGCAGTACATTATACTGGATGTAGAGGGTGATTGATAATTACCTGCCATCATGTTGTGTAAGTTCCCAAGTCAGTGATTTTGAATAGATACATAAGTGATTCAGCATTCATATTCAGGTATCATGAAATCCCTGTAGCCCTCGAAGTTTGCAGATCCCCAGATTTTCAATAATACTCTTATTTATTTTGTTCAGAAGTTATTTTGTAGCAGCTTGGGGAATTATACAGGTTCCAGTCTTTCTAAAAATACTGTGATGCAGCTGCTTACTGAGCACCTTTGAACTTCCTATTTCATCAAACTTGTTGTTGCAATTGTCACTTAATAACAAACTTTCTCCAATATTTGATAGTAGTGAAAGTAATTGAGTCCATTGAGAAACGTTGATTTGCAAAGAAAGGTCAGATTTTATGCACTATCCTAGTAAAATAATCCTAGGGGAAAAAAAGGAATAGAAGTAGGAAAACAACTACACAAGCATCCCTCCATATAAGGGTTCCACCAATATGCCTCTCAACAGTAATATTTGCCTCCTTGGTACACAAGTTATTTTCCTATAGCAATGAAGATGGTGCTTGCAACTGTTCATGTGTCTGGGAAGTACTGGCCTTATAACCTGTGCAGTGTTGGAAAAGAAAGACAAAATTATGGAAAATTCTAATTCTTCATAATGCCTCCCAGCATTAACTACATTAAATAGAGACAATGAAAATTCAGTTTAACTGAGTAGGAAAAGATGGTGCATTTAAAATTTCCCTTGGTATTTAACCAAAATAAAAGATTCTTTATATGATCAGTAACTCAATTGTGGTCTTAATTATTTCCAAAGAATCTCTGAGGTTGGAAGGGACTTCTGGAGATCCTCTAGTCTTAGTTCCCTGTTCAGAACAGGATCAATTACAGTTGGCTTCTCAAGAGCACAGACAGTCAGTTTTCAAATATTTGTAGAGATGCTGACAGACTCCACCTCCTCTTTCATCAAACTGTTCAAGTTTTTGACTACCTGCAGAATTGTTGTTTCTTAGATTAAAACAGGATTTAAAAAGTTGTTTCTTAGATTAAAACAGGATTTTCTGTATATCAATTCGTGCCTCCTGCTGAACACAGCACTTCATCTGCAATTCCACCAGCCCTGAGGGGAAGAATCACCTCCCTGACCTGTTGGTAACAGTGTTCGCATAAACCCAGTACCAGGAACAGGTTAAGTCTGCAACAGGAGGCTGATTCACATGCAAACATTCTAATATTTATTAACTAAAGTCCTTCCAAGACGATCTGTAAGCATAACATAATTGATCTCTCATCTGACTCAGAAACTCTATGCACCAAAAGAAAAAATATCCTTCATATTTTTGGGCTTCCCCATCGTCACACCTTAAAAGACATTTGGTCCAGTGAATATGTGGATCTAACATCCAAATTTCTCATTAAAAATACTTCACCAGAATATAAAATAAAACTCAGATTAGCTTGTGATTAGTATGCATCTTTTTTTTTTTTTTGCCTACAATAAATTTTTATTACGTGGAGTTGAATCATGGAATAAAAAGTACCGGAATATGAGAAATCAATAAAATATTATTACTAGTCATTTGCATACCCCATGACATTTCATGAAAACCTAGCTGCAAGAGGTACAGATGACAGATAGATGGCATAAAAAAACCCATACAAAGGTCATCATTCCAGCAACCCTTATTCTAAGAGGAATTTTAAAAGTTAAATTGCACACTATCCCGACTTTATAAATCTGCATATTAAATATATTATGAATACATTAAATTAATATTTAGCCCTGAAATTTAAAAAATTTACCTGTTCTGCAGACTTGAGCTGACATATTAAATTTACAATACTGCAACTGTTTCAAAGATCCACAAGCTGTATAAGCAATAACTTCCAGGTTAAAACTTTATTCTTGCTTGTTCTGTATTCTGCAATAGTGGGCGTACCCAGCTGGTTCCCAGTGACTTGGGGCAGAAGCAAAACAGGCAGTTACATAGAGCACAAACTGATTGATAAGTAACATTCAAAGCCTTAAGGAAAATAAAGGTTTTCAGAAATGCAGCTGCAGTTTAGAAATGCAGAGTCCAGCCTGCACTGGCACAGTGACAAATGTGTTCCTTTCTTCCTCAGTGAAGCCACACACTGCATTGGAGTTGAGCAGCCACAATGCCATTCCTTCACTCTCTGCCCAGAAAACACATGCAGAACAACTCACCAGCAAAGCAAGAGTCCTGAGGCCACAAGATGAGTGCACTTGCCTTTTATCTTCATTGCAGCAGCAGTGCCACATTGTGTTACTGCTCTTAGGAGCCTGATTTCAGCAGTGCTATCTTGACAAGAGCAGAGTGAAACATGAATAGAGATGGAGACACAGTTGTGTGGGGTCATGATCAGCCATTACTGATGCTGAAATGCTTGTCTCAGCTCTGTGATCAGTTAGAGAAGATATTTTTCAGCTTCTTCCACAACATGGAATTCTACCACTACAAAGAGCAAGTAAATAATGAAAAATAAACAAAATTATGCAATCTTTATTCCTATAACAGAGATAACTCTTTCTGTTTAGAAAATTAAGGAGCAGAGACAGTTCTGGTATGTCCCAAAATTATTTATTTTTGCTTTTCATTCTGAAAGATCTTATTTATATGCACTGGAAAACAATTATATATAGCTATTTTGTGCTGTATGTCACAGGTGCTTACAGGTAATCATCAAAAGATGTATTTTATAAGACGCACACAGAGCTCACAGGCTGGTGGTTCACATTTAAGTTGGTTAATTCCTGCCAAATACACATGACAATATTTATGATTTATAATTTATAAGTGTGAATTAAGCATTAACATTGCATACACAGAGCTTTAAATATCAAGGCTTCCTACAGCTGACATGGAGGAGAGCACAGGTAGCTGGATGATTGAATGACCAAAGCCAAGTCCCCAATCTTACATTTTGCAACTTTTTGCCTCTTCCATTTGTCAACATATGTAGAAATGAAAGCAATATAAATGGTAAGAGTAGTAGAAAATTTCAAATTTGGTCTAGCTTTTTATCCTCTGCCAGTGGAAGCCATTGAAGAACATTGTTCAGGGAGGATCAGTCTATTCTGCCTCACATGACCATGAAAGCACCAAGACAGTCAAAGGAAAATTTTGAATGGTGCTTTGCTTTAGTCTTTAACATTAAAATTGAAAACCACGAACACCAAAGATTACTCAAAAAGTATGTTTAAAGAATTAAAATGGAAACTATCCTTAGTAAGAAAACTCAGTTTCTATGTTAACATTTCTCTAAAAGCTTCAAAAATACTATGAAAGTCTTTTCAAAACGAGACCTTATCTTCCAGAACAAGAAAAACAAGCCTGAAACACCTGTGAGAGATGCTTTGCCAGAGTCAGAAATCACATTTGAACTTTAGATCGGGAATTCTGTTTCAAGTCTGAAATCCCTCACACACTGGAGTGAGCTCTAAGTGAGTGAAATGAAGTCTTTGGCTTCTATGTGTATCAAGCAGGGTCATCTCTTATCTTTACCAGCCACAGCTCACTCTTTGAAATTCATCAAGCTTCAATTAACTGACCTTCCATTAAATGCCTAGGATTTTCAAAGTATTCCCCAATCAGACCACATTAGGCTAACCTGGTGTGCTCAAATATGCTCTTCTGGAATATATTTCCACACACTGCACGACTCCAGTCCATATTAGTTAAGAGTGATAAACGTAAAAGTACCCAAACACAAACCATAGCTCCTGCAGTCAGTTAATTAAGCATCTCAACTAGCAGTGAAATATGTGTGACATTTTGACCTTTGCTATCAAACTTCCCTTCCTTTTTCCTTCAGCATTAATAAAATATGTTTTTTTAAAAAAATTAATAACAACAGACAGAGGTTTAGTGTTTTGCACTCCATTTTATATGCTCCTAACTCCAGCCAGCTGACTGCTGTTTTGTGAGTGGGCAGCTGACAGTTCCCTAGCAACAGACTAATTGATTGCAGCTTTAAATCCACCTCCTTCCACTCATTTCTCCTATTCCTTGCTTATGAGTGTATGCACACATATCTGCCAGGTAAAAGATAGCACATAGAACTCTAAAGAACAAAGGGAGAAGCATCTGATAGCAATTTATTCCAGAAGGGTTTTAAATTTCAGAAAAAATATGCTGTAATATCAGGATTTAAAATTAATTTAAAATTATTTCAGCATACTTTCAGTTATGTTCTTTTCATTCTATTCTTTAATACAGAGATCAATAAACCTTTTCATTCTCTTTCATAGTAATGAACACTGATTAATTCAGTGATTTTATATATAAAATTTTACCCATATATAAAATTTTACCTATCTTGTAACGTCAGAAGCTATAACAGGAAAAAGAAATTTAGAGATAGAAGGCTGAATGTCATAAAGTAGGACCAAGAGCTAATATCCAGTCGTATAACAATAAGGTCTGTCCTAATAAATTATTATTAAGAAAGCATAGGTAATGTTTGCTCCATTTGTTTTAGAGGTAGCTATCTTTTATATGTATTATCAAAGGGAAATATTTTCAATGCCAAAATAGTAAATAGGTGTGAAAATGGTCTCAGGTAGGTTTCCAAGCCCTAAATCAAGTGATTCTGGCCCAAAAGCCCTGCTGAACTCAATTTCAGAAACTTTCTAGCTGCTGCAGCTTCTGACTTAAATGTTTGAAACCTCAGGCAGAAACAAGCATCAGGTTGCTGTTTCAAGTAAATTGTGAGATCTTAGGGTCTTATTAAAGAGGGAGAGTGTAAATTGGGAGCAAGAAGGAATGAGTCCAGGACTGGTAGGGAAGCAAAAAGCTCTAAGGAAAGCTTTGTGGATTACTTCTCTTATGTTGGAAGCATTGACTCTGCAACTTCTCTGGGAAATTGTGGTTCCTCCCTTCAAATGGAGGGAATTTTCATGTCATTAATCTCCAATAGGCAAGTTCAATACATGGCATTGTCTCAACACAGGAATTATTAATCTGAATACAGGGCTCTCCCCCTTTTTAGTAGTAGAGATGGCTTTTTTTCTCATGTTGTTACTGGAAACATGCAAACCCACATCTTTCACAACAATGCCAGAGCCATCAAGGTATCCTGGTTTAGGTAGAATTATGGCCTTTTTCTTACTGTTTGAAGTGGTTCAGAGGTTTTTAGTCTGCAGGTATGACTTTCTGCCTAAAGAATTCTGTAAAGCTGATCAGAATTGGGAGAGGTGAATTCTGTTTTCTTCCAGTTACTTCAATATTTAAATTAAAAATTTTTCATGTAAAATGTATAAACAGGCCTGGGAACATGGAAATCAGCTCTCTGCACTTATATCCATAGCTACTAGACTCCAAGTCAGGTACTGCATACTAAATGTCTGCTTTCCTGATCATCCACATCACCAGAGACTCTTCCTTTCTGTACCACTATATCTGTAGAAAACTTAGAACTCTTGAATCTGCAAGGAGGAATCTATTTTGAAATTTTGGCTTAGGGTAATCTAACATTTCAGTCCCCATTAGATCGGTCCTTAAAATATTAAATTCTGAGACAGACTGAGCTGGAAGAAATTCGCAGCTTCATAAATTTAATTTGTAAGATACATAGCCATAGTTTTAACTAACTGCAGAACTACTTACCTAGGGCATTTATTCTGAAAGTTTAGCCGACACATGTGAAAAATACCTAACTTCAGACATTTTTCCACATGTAAAAAACATTAACACAACAGTTTGAAAGAGCTAAGCATCTGAAGATAATGCACTAATGTTTCTATTCTAATTTAAAGCACCTAATTTAAATCTGTCCCCTACTTGCAATATCCTACCCCTTTCTCTCCCTGGTATTATTTACTAAATAGATAATAAATTTTTATTTTTTTTAATGTTATTCACTGGATGTGACACAAAAGTGAGTTGGATAGTCATTCTCTTAATTTTTTTAAGAAAAGGTATTTCCACTGGGAAGGTGCTAGCATGATCTTCGAAATAAACCTTGGCAACATGAATCATAACATTTTCAAACATTTATTTTAGCATCTTGGCAGAGAAGAGACTCCTACAATCACATTGTAGCAAACAAATACAATAGCATGGATTAGAGATGTACGAAAATAGCAGATAAATGGTCAAGAATGTATTTGATATACACTGAAAGTGTCTAATTTAAACATAAATTTAGGCATTATATGAGTTATTAGAAAGGAACCTATGCATGTTGCCCACCTTAATTTAAAAATATAGAAGATACATATAAAGGAGAAAAAATTTCCATACTTTCTATTTCACCCAGCAACATAGAATGTTTATCTCTCGAATGGTCCTTATCATAAAAGAAATTAATTTGGTTCTAAGATCAATGTGGCACACAAATCAGTTCATTTTTAGCACTCTCGATTATGTAAATTGAAAATGAGGAAAAATCGTATTGAAGATACAGAGAGGCTTCCTGACTGTTAGAGGTAGGATTTTAGAATATTATGCCTTCTGCATCTTTTTCCCCAAAATTTGAGTCTTAAGTGAAATATTTATATAACATATATTGACATTTGGAAATTTGTGGTGTATTTTCCAAAAAACTTGCTTGGCCTTGCATGGAAATTTTGAGCAGAATTTTTATAGGCAATATTTCATATATGGAAAAAGGATCTCCATTAATTTCTGTGAGCGTGCACTACCTGTGATAATTACTTTTTCCAAAAATTACCTCTCAGGTGCCGAGCTTATTAACTTCTACTGCCTTACAAGTATCATATTTGTCACATACAGCAAAGAGGAATTTGTGCCTTCATTCCACCACCACCACCCACCCCTGCTCCCTTAAAAGAATTCCTCCTCCTAGGTAAGTACCATAATCACTGTGCTACTATTCCAGTCATGAACAATTACATAGTCTCCCTCCCTAGTCCAATAAATTTTGTAAGTATTTTATGCAAAGCAGACAATCACCAACTGAAGAAGTTAAGCATGACACACATAGAGATAGCCTCATTGGATAAAGTTTTAGAGAATTACTCTGTACATTTTGTAGCAGAAATTGTTAATTCTTACTGATTTGAAATGCTTGTAAGCCAGCCATGTAGCTATTTCAATAATTTTAAACCAAGATGCTCTGGGAACTTTCACTCATGAAATGATATTTGCCTGATTATTGTCATCTTCTGTTTCCATTTCTGTTAGAACTTTAAGCCAAATAGTCCATCTGGCATTTTCTCTCACTTGTCATTTTTTAAGTTATAAAAATACAGTATATTTTAAAATTCTAGATCATCAGTTTTATTTTCTCACATAAGTACTGAACATAAGAACTCAAATACTTTTACAGAATATTTTATGAAAAAAATCTCCTTTACTACATCTGAGATCTGCATCTGGACTGTTTCAGTATCTAACTGAGTGCCTGCTGACAATAATGGTCAGGGAGGAGAAGTGCATTGGGCTTGGACATAAATGGTTTCACAAAATCGCCTCTTGAAATATCCAAATTG